GGTTTTCCTTACTTAGAGATGCGGAAACTCAAGTCCTGGAGGGAGTCAGTAGCTTGTCCAGGTGGTTCCATAGCTGAATTTGAACCCCCTTGGCGGAGGAGTCGTTGTTAATCACCCTCCTCTGCTGGCTGCCTCTGGAGCGAAATGATGGGAGAACAGCATGTGGGGAAACAATTACGTTACTTCACCTTAGTACTGGCTGCTAGTCAAAATAACTGTGTTCATTTATTTAATAATAATTTTAGAAACTAGGGCATGCTAGTCCTGTACTGTGTACCTAAACTGTAGCATAGGCAAAATAAGTAGTCTCTGACTTTATAGAGCTTAGATTCCAATGAGAATTCTATCAGTAGCAGTATTGTAAAACCTCCCGGTTTTAAGCCCTTTAAGGGCTGGGACTATGTCTTTTGTTTGTTTCTGACTTCCTGCTCAGTTCATGATAGGTATTAGAGAATGCATGAACGAAGGGCAGAAAATAAATGAATGAATGAAAATATAACCTACAATGTTTTTTTTCTTTTTTCTTTGAACTTGTTTCCTGAAGAAAATGTAGAGAGCTTTTTTTTTTTTTTTAACAGTTTTGCTCCATATCATTATCACTAAGTTTTCCCACAGGGAGTCAGTGATTATTTGTAGATTCATGTATAAATAAACAACTGTATTTTTGTCTCGCCTTTTTAACGGAATTATAATCGCACCCATACGCAAACGCAAACTTACAGCCGTTGGGCCCGTGGAACTGCTCACGGCCTGTACGACAGAGTAGAATTGCCATCCTGTTTCCAAGGCTGTAAACCCCCGCAAAGACTGGTGGATTTGAACTGCTGACCTTGATTTAGCAGCTAAATGCTTCAAGCACCGCACCACCAGGGCTACTTGATCATATCTACAGAGGGTAGGAGTTAGAAAAATCTAAGTTTACTACACTTAAATATGGAGGTAGAGAGGCACAGTGGTATATTTTTTGGAATATCATATACATTTGGAAATTCATCTAATGTGTTATAATCATTTCATTTACTAAAATAAGAGTACCCAATGAGCTTTACTTCATTGGTTCAGCTTGAGTACATAATACTTCGTAGCCCTTGACCTAATAGGAATCAAAATAGAGGTGGTTCTACTTCAAGAATTTGTAATAATCCCTTCACTTTAACACATGAATGTGTTCAATATTGGCAAAAGAACACGTTGCTACCAAAACTGAAATCAGATCCTTGAAACAGAAAGGCCGTTGCCATGGAAAAATGAAGTAACACTCTGCAGCTGTGATGCATTAATGAAGAGGATATTTTTTAAAGATCATTTGTGTTTGGTGTGGCTCAGAGGGTCCCAACCAGATGGTTTCCATGAACATGATCCGACCCCCGGCTTGAGGCCTTCTTACTGGCAGATTACTTCATTTTCTTCCCCTTGGATTGTCGGATCCTTACATTAATGCCGAATTTACTGCTGCAGATTTATATTCAGTTATATAAAGCACTCCACATTTTACATTAAAACCACAATTTTAGACATACAGTTTAACAGTTATTTTGAAAGTTTAAGAAGATTTATGTCATAGCTTTAGTACACATACTGTAATATTATAATCATTTTGAGCAGTTTGGGCTATATTTGAATATGCTTTGATTCCAATCATTAAAAGAATCCCTGGAACATATTTCACATTTTAAAAATTTACTTTTTAAAGTTGTTGTATAGCTCATACTATTATACTAATGATTCGGTATGCATCGCTTAGATTATTTAAATTGATAAAATAATTTATTTCAAATTTGTGGGATTCTGAAAAATGTATACATTTCTCCAAACATATATGTATATTTGTTTGCTTATTGCATATTTAATTACCCCAGGTTATTAAAATTATTTTTCAACAGTGTCAGTACTTACATTAAGTGCTAATTATTGACTATTAATACTTTGCCTCTAAACTCAAAATTAATGGGACAATATGGTCTTAATATGTGCTTTTAATTGTAATTAATAAATTATGGCATTTAAATCCTAAGTGCAATAAATTTGAGAAAATATAAACCTCACTTCTTATCAAGAATAAATAAAATATATACTGTGATCTAAATCAGTCAGTAAATACATTTATGATTAATTTTAATCTTACAACCTAGATATATTTTAGAATTTTAGATCTCTAGGAGATGAACTCATGCTTCATGAAGCAAAACAATTTTTTTTTAAAGATGCAACATTTTATGTATACTATTTCATCACAGAATTTATCGGTTTGTCTACATAAAGAATGTTGGAGTAAAGATGAATCATTTCCCTTAATAGACTGACTGCCACATTATTTACTGTACCAAAGAAATCTAACCTTGTTCTATACCATCATTATGTTCTTACTAAGAAATATATCAACACTAAGAGAAGGAATATTGTTTCATCCTTTTATAAAATACAGTTTCTTAGCTAATATAAATTACTAGCATATCTAAGCATCATCAAGCAAATACAATTTTTGTCATTTCACATAACCTTTGTCAAATATTTTACAAAAATGTAAAAGTGAGCCCTATAGGACCAGTGGTGTGAGTGGCAAAACAGGGAGGGTAAAGGGAGAATGGGTAGGAAAGAGGGAACCAATTACATGGAACTGTGTGTGACCTCCTCCCTGGGGGACAGACAACCGAAAAGTGGATGAAGGGAGACGTCGGACAGGGCAAGATATGACAGAATACCCATTTATAAACTATCAAGGGCTCATGTGGGAGGGGGGAGCGGGGAGGGAGGGGAAAAATGAGGACCTGATGTCGGGGGTTTAAATGGAGAGAAAATGTTTTGAGAAACGATGTACAAATGCGCTTTACACAATTGATGTGTGTATGGATTTGGATAACAGTTGTATGAGCCCCTAATAAAATGTTTAAAAAAAAATATGGTAGGCTGTTGATAATTTGTAAACCTGGAACTAATTAAGATTAATTGACTTTAATCCATATTGCTTCTGAATTTAGAACCTTTCAGTTTTTGGTGTAGGCTTCTGAAGTCTTACTTGAACTGCCTAAGAGCCAGATAATATTTCCAGTAAAATTAACAGTAAGCGAAGTAGTTGTAATAGAGAAAGGTAAGATTAAAATTTTTATATGACATAATTCAGGTAATAATTTGAAGGCTGACAAAAGCAAGGAATAACAGATTTTTATGTCTTCTGAATGTTCTTCATTGTTGCATATATTTTTAAAATGTGATACATTTGGAGGATCGTCATTTGGAAGAACTTCATTGAAAATGGAATTAAAAGATACAAACGATTATAAACTCTTTCAACGTAAGCACCATCAAGGTCAAGAAACTTGCATTAAGAGTTGAAACCGGAACCCAGTTGAATGGGATATCAAACCGTGTAGGGAAAAAACTCGTGGGTTGTGGCTCAGGGTGGAATTGTACTCATATAGACTCTTCATACCAGTAGAGTCTGAAGTACTGAGTCACTGGGAAAATTGATGAAGACAATAATGAAATTGACTTATACCCCAGGGGGGTGATTGGCAATGCTCTACTTAAAGAAGTAAAGCTTATATAGGTTTTTGCTTTTGTCTTTCTTTGTGGTTTTGAGTGTTCTGTTTGTTTGGTTGCTGCTTAGTTTTTATGGCTGTTATTGATGCAGTTGGTTATATAGAGTTTTGATTTTTCCATATCAGGACCACCAAAGTAAACCTGAGATGTATAAATCCCATGGACAAGCAGATGGAGCCTGGGCTCCTACTTAACTCTAGTCCCAATTCAACAATAGGGAGTTCTGATCACATGGCCCTGCTGAATACTCACCTTCATGAAAGGATCACTGAATATAAGGGTGCTACAGCAAAGTGTGGTGAAGAAAGTAGATGGTGCCCGGCTATCAATCAGAATAGTGTCTGGGGTCTTACAGGCTTGGATTCAAATAAGCAGCCATCTAAGCGAGGAGTCAACTAAGTTCACAAGGAAGAAGCACCAGCTTGTGTGATCCAAAGATTACAATTGTAAAATTCGAATATGGCGAAGGGAAAAGTATCAGAGTTAAAATTATGAACACCCAATTTGTAGAAAGCTATGGAGGACAGCTGGAACCCAAAACCCATCTGCAGAGCATCTAGTCAAACTGAGCCGCTGGCAGATCCCCTCTAGCCACAGGCAAGAGTCTCTGTCAGCCTTATTATCAGGCAGAAACCCTTGTAACCTTGATTATGCTAGCTCTAACTTGATACTTGGCCGGTTGACCTCCTGGTAGACCCTACTTGAATTTGTTCTGGGTGCAAGTATCTCTTACTTGGTTCATGACAGAAATTTCTTCCCTGGCTTTTTGAATGTTGACGGGGATCTTTTCATTCTTACTTACTATTTGTAATTTTGTCTTTATATTATTATTCTTTTATCTCTACCATCTTATTTCAGTTTCATTTTTTATTGGTTTGTTAGGTTACCCAGTTAGTGAAGCACGGGAGGAGTGGATGCAGAGTGATAATAACTGATACAAGGATATATAGGGGTTGTAGGGGTGGGTAATGAATGATAGGAAGGGAAATTGGGCTGAAAACAATGAAGGTGGGAGGGGGAGGGAGCACTAGAACTGATTGTAATGCACAACTCACCCTGACCATTGCAGTCTTTTGTTGGATGAGATGGAAATGCAGGAGCTCTGTCATGGTGGGGGACTCTCTGGTCAAGCATTTTGGGATGCTTTCTGCTAAAGGTTTTTCCTACCAACATGGTTTCCAACTCGATCATGGTTGTTGGAGAGAGTTGTAGAAAGACACACATAAAAGTGACATACACTGTCACTTTTAATCTCTGGCAAGAAAAAAACATTTCAAGTATTGTGTTCCCGAGTAAGGTTAAATGAGAAAGATGTGAATATGGAATATTTTACTCTTTTTTTTTTTTTGGCTCGTCACTTTATTCTGGTGAGGTTGAGGTTATTAGGTGTTGGAGGGCTTTTTTTTCCTCTCCCAAATTTCATCAGATACAAATACTGTAATTCTGCTTCTGTTTTCTAGCTTGAAGTCCAGTCTTGTTGCATGTTCATTCCAAATGATAGCCTGCCTTCTCCAAGTACCATTGTATCTGGCGACATTCCCGGCACAGTGAGAAGTTGGTACCACGGCCAAGTCAGCATGCCGGGAACGCTGGTCGTGTGTTTGCCGCAGATCAAGATTATTAGTGCTGCTCATAAGGATATGGAACCTTTGCAGGAGGTCCCGTTTGTCATCCCACGTCCTATTCTTGAAGAAGGTACGTTAATTTTTTCCCTTTTTTGGTTATTATATGCTAATATTTTTGTTTACTTTTAAAATAATGGCCGTGTATATATAAACCAGTTTTCCCAATGAAAGATACTTCTATCTAAAGTCACTGAACTAAGTGGTGGTGCCATTTATTTTGATCATATATAAATGCATATTGTCTATAAAAGATCATATGAAATACACTCTAGCTATTAAAATCTCAATTTCAAAAGTTAACATGGAAAGAATATTGCTTCCGGGTGTTTGCTTTAGATGGAACTAAGAATGATACATGAATTTATCTTAATTTAAGAAGCTTAACAATTCTAAATGTGTTTTTAACATCCAGCATAATTTACTCCTAGATTTTTCTTTTAAACCAAATATATGGTTCTGTGATGATTATTGCCATGCCTCTTTCTTCAGTAGATGCTTGATTTCCTTCACTGCACTGTTTTCAGGTGCAAATTTTTACCCTTTTGAACTTTGACATATTCATCCCAAACAGTATTTGAACCTGGAATATTTTGAGTCACAGAGTAAATAATGTGGATCTATATTTTAATAACAAAGCTTGGTTTTTTTGGCAATGCTAAACAGGTCAACACCTTGTTCGTATTATTAAGATGTAAGTGTAGAATCTGACATCATTCCGATTACTGTACAGACTTAGGGAGAAGCAGACAAAGTCTGGGGTGCAAGTTAGGGCTCTGATGTTGCTGTCGCGCCTACTGTCTTTGTGCTGAAGTGTCCATCGAAATTTAGTTGGATTTTTTTCAGAAGTAAGTATGATTTAACAGTCAAAATTAGTATTCATACTTAGTAATATGTAAACCTTTTTCATAAGATAGCATCTACAGGGTAAGATGAAATGTTTTTAGAATTCTTGTCTGAGCGTTGTCTTGTTACAGGATCCCTTTTCTAGCATAATGGGTATATGCTTCTCTGGTATGTACTTTTGACTGTAAGAGATTATTTACTATTAATACTTATTGTGGAATATATCGAGAATATACTCGCTTCAAGGCATGTTGAGTTGGGGAGTGCTTCTTTTTACTATGGAAGAATTTTTGTCAGATTAAAAGGTTTATTCCTTGATTTTTGTTTGTTTGTTAAAACTTATAAGTTTTAATACAACTTTTTGGGGAATAATTCATATATTGTGAAATTCCTTTTAATGTATATAATGCTGTGATTAGTACAATTCAGAGATGTGCACCCATCATTACTAACTTTAAGTCCTCTTTCATTCCCAACAAGAAACTGAGCGTCTTGCCATTTCTGTTTCCGTAACTCCTGTCAATCATATACATGGAACCACATAGTACCCAACCTTAGCATCTCTAGGTTGTATGTATATACGTGCACAAGTATTTGCTAATCCCAAACATACAAATGCATTTTTGGTGTGCAAATTATGAGCACATGGTATGGGGTTTCTTCTCTTCAAGATATGCAGCTCCTTTGTAACTTAATTTCCTTTGTGCCCTAAGTGTCTATATTTGCGCTTGTTATTTACATGGGCTTTTTTTTGGTGAGAATATATACCGAGGCGTGGGATGGTTGGTCCATGTGATTCATGCTGTATTTAAGCATTTGAAGAGGTGCCAAACTGTTTTCCAGTATGTTGTGCCATTTTACGATCACATCTGTAGTACTATACTTTACTGTCTTTCATCATAACCATCCTAGTGAGTGTGAAGTGGCATTTAATTGGAGTTTTGATATACATTTCTTCAGTGACTGTGATATGGAGCATCTTTCCATTTGCATTACTTCTTTTATAGCTTCTTGAACTCATTACTTACTTTTGCCCATATTTGAATTGGTTGGATCATTTGCCATGTATCGTAAGATTTCTTTATGTAATCTGAACATTAGATCTTAATGAGATAAGTGATTTGCAAATATTTAGTTTTTATTCTGAAGATTGTCTTATAGTAACGCATGCATGTGTGTGCGCATGTACACATGGATTGGCATTTACTCCTTCCAATTGCGGAGCATTACCAGTTCAGGATCCTTTGAAACAAAAGTCTTAATTAGAACTTTATAATAATTAATTAGTTAATTTACATTATAATTTATTTTTTTAAAGGAAGATTTAAAAAATTATTAAATTCCAGAAGGAGAAACACTTGATGTTGCTTCTTTTTTTTTTTTTAATTCCATAGTTATTAAAAAATGTATACTTTGTTGTGGTTGAGAATATACACCACCAAACCAACCATTCAACAGTTTCTACATGTATAGTTTATTGTCACTCTTTATGTTGTTATGCAGCCATTCTTAGCCTCCTTTTCTGAGCTGTTCTTCCCCCATGCACATAAACTCTATGCCCTCAAATTCCTCCCTAAGCTAATCTTCTGAGTTGCTGTTATCTGTTTGATCCAAAGTAGATTGTTCTTAAAATAACTTAATGCTCAAGCAAACAGTTTTTAGTAGTTAAGCTTAAACTTTCATTTGGTTGGGTTTTTTAAAAATTATTTTATTGAGGGCTCGTACAATTCTTATCACAATCCATACATCCATCCATTGTGTCGAGCACATATGTACATTTATTGCCCTCATCATTCTCAAAACATTTGCCTTCTACTTTAGCCCTTAATATCAGTTGCTCATTTCCCCCCCATGAACCCTTCATAAATTATTATAGTTTTGTCATAAGTTACACTGTCCGCCGTCTCCCTCCGCCCTCTTCTCTGCTGTCCATCCCCCAGGGAGGAGGCTATACTTAGATTCTTGTAATCGGTTCCCACTTTCTACCCCACATTCCCTTCACCCTCCAGGCATCGCCCCTCTCACCACTGGTCCTGAAGGACTCATCTATCCTGGATTCCCTGTGTTTCCAGTTGCTATCTGTACCAATGTACATCCTCTGGTCTAGCCAGATTTGTAAGGTAGGATTGGGATCACGATAGTGTCCGGGAGGAAACATTTAAGAACTAGAGGAAAGTTATTATGTTTCATTGTTGCTGCCCTGCACCCTGATTGGCTCGTCTCCTCCCCACAACCCTTCAGTAAGGATGTGTCCGTTGCCCACCGATGGGCTTTGAGACTCCACTCTGCACTCACCCAAATTTACAATGATATGATTTTTTGTTCTTTGATGCTTGATACCTGATCCCTTCGATAGCTCGTGGTCACACAGGCTAGTGTGCTTCTTCCATGTGGGCTTTGTTGCTTCTGAACTCAAGGATATTCTTAGTTTGGTTTAAGGTTTTGATGATGTGTTTTGCTAAGTATTTTCTAATCCCACCTTTTTCTTTTTTTTTTTTTGCAAAACATTACACATTTTTTATTATTAAATGAGAAATTTCATTTGTTACATCGTCACATTGCTAGTTAGAAAATGCTGCAGTGATGAAGAAAGTCAATGTTGGATCAACCAAGTCCTCATTTCTACAACATTCATTTACAAAGAAATAATGTTCAACATAGCCCAACACAATGTTCTTGGTTTTCTTCATACTGAAGTCCCCAAAAAACATCTTCTAATGGGGTATTTTACTACATAAATTATAGTTCTTCATTTTTACAATTCACCCTAAACTGTATGAGATGTATCACCCTAAAATGTCTAAAGCTGTTAGGAAATCCTTCACATGTTGTCATCTGATGTATCACTGCTACTTGTCTCTGTGTCAGCATTCTCAGTGGTGGGTGTGAAAGTGTTGTTTTTCCAGGGTCCAAACTTGAAGTCACAGGTCTGGCTATTTTTCAAAATACCATTTTTTCCCAGACCATTCTTCTGTAACTGTTCACTAATAACTTGGAATTCTCTCATTTCATCCTCAGTTAAGGGAGCACGTGTTTCATCATTTTCACTATCTTCCTGCCAGCCCATCTCCTTGAGCAATCTGTGTCCTGCCTCAAGTGACCTTGAAAGATCATCAGTTTGTGGAAAGGTTGAAGACCGAATAATCTGTTGGGAAATCACTGAGGCATTGCTGCCATTCTCTTGTGGAATTTCACTTTCATCAAAGTTTTGGTTTATATCCCTTTCTTGGTGAGGACTATTGCTATTATGCAAATTAAATGAGTTGTCGTCCTTCTCTGAGCCAGCATGGCTCTCATCTTCATGTTCTTCTTCTACTCTGTCCCTTTTCGGTGCTTTCAAAAATTCACTCTTCTTATCAGTACGCATTCATGTCAGTTTGGTTAGACGAGGTTGCTGATTAAGTTTGTCAACAGGTAAAGAGGAATTTGAGCGGTTACACTCTTTCACTAAATTTGTTGATGGACTAAAATTCTTGGCAGTTGATTTGAAAGTATTAAAGTTGCCAACACCATACGTAGACTAATGAGGGAAAGAAGTTCGAACTTTATTTTCTTTAGTTTGGCTTTTCCATTGTGTAGGTTTTGTGGGCGGAGCAGCAGGTTTAGGGACTAAGCCCTTATAAACACTTGGACCAGTCCCGTTCTTAACTGGCTGCGACTGAAGATTTCCCATGAGTGGGAATCCAGATAGCTGTCAGTCTTTCGTATTGCCTTTCTTAATGACCAGCATTCTCGGGAGCTCTAGATTTAGTATTCGGAGGATATTCCCATACACCTGCAGCTAAAGATGTTATTCTGATTTGGTTCTCTCACATATTCAGTATTTAAAGATGGAAAATCCTCAGCTTCAAATTGTTTCCATTCCCTCTTGTCTTCCTTCCTCCCAGTGTCATTGTCAGGTATATTGTCTTCACTTAGTCCTTGGCTTTTTCCAGAATGGAAAATACTGCTATGAGAACGGGAACTTACACCATGGTAGCCCCCTCGATGATTTATGTTTTCTGTACCATTTCTTCCATGTGGACGCCACCCATTTTTTCTTTCCTTCCAAAATTACCTCCATTAGAACACCCAGTACCGGAATCAAAGCCATCTGAAGAGTTATGTCATCAACGATTTACATCATAACGATTTTCTGTCCATGAAAAGTTTTCAGAATGCTTCTCAAAATTCAGGGATGACTTTGTTGATGGTGGTGGAGTAGGAAAATTAAGCCAGGCTGGAGCA